GCCTTCGACTAGCATAGCCTTGTGTAGATGCCTCATAGAACAATGTCTGTGTATTTAAGCATACAAAATATATGTAAATGCGTTTAAAATCTTAACATATAACTGTGTATATTTAATAGTATAATAACCTGCCTTATGCGAAGCTTGCATGTTTTTGCAAGAGTTATTGAGATTATCAGCCTGAAACAAAAATGTTGCCCGGCAAACAGGTACAGTAACTTGTAAGTAAGGCGTCACGGTTGAAATAAAAGCCCAGCGCGCATAATACATCTGTGTTGAGGTGAAAAGATATGCACATTGCACTGTGCAAAGCCATTGAGTTTACCTGGAGATGGCTATTTAATCAGAGCCCTCGACCATTCCTGCTGCCTAATTGTATCCATTTGTCTCAAAAAAATAATCACGAGTGTCAAAATATTAATGGGTTTGCAGCAAATTATGCAAAAAAATATCAAATGAATTGTAGCCGTGAGTGGTGAGTAGGACTTTCATGTCTCTCGAATCGGTGGTGACTGCGTTTTTTTGCACGAGTTTATTTTTATTCCTTCTCTCTCTGTCTCTGACCTTGTGACACTGTACATTTAATGGAGTGCACGGCTATCATGAAAAATGGTGCAATCAGGGAAATTGCATGGTAACAGCCCTACCCAGGGAGGCCTCAATAGCCACCCACACCCTGAATTAACGTCGGCACATTTAGGCCGGTCTGAAGCATTACTCTTGCCTCAAGTGAACATTTTGGTCTCTTTATAGATAGGGGCTTTGCTTAACTCTGCCGGTCATGACCGCCTCCCCCCTGCTCCCCTATCTTAAATGTGCCAGAGGACCACTCACCGCTGGTGGCCCCCCAATGCTGATGGTGCTGCTCCACTGCAGGCTCGAAGTGAACATTTTGTTTGGGGGGGGTAGACGGGGGGTGGGGGGCGAAATGCATGGAGAGATGCACGCTTGGAATAACACCGAGAGATGGAGAGAGCGACACATCATGATTAAGTTGGCCCCAGCTCTAAGCAACTGAACCTGCACAAGACTCATCGCTTGACAGGCACGATGCGTGATGGTCGAGGAGAAGGGAGGGGGGGAGGGAACGAGAGGATGACCACCGTGGAGACCGAGCCACGAGACCGGCTCCCGTGCAGCAGCCCAGATGGAGGGATGGCGACAACGGCCTTCATCCAGTAGTGGATAGATCATGGCTGATGCTAATGGGGGTGTTTGATGTCCATTGATTGTAGTTGTAGACGCTACTGGGTGGTTGGGATAATTTGCTAATTTTACCAACAACTGTTGCCACTCCATAAACTCTTCCACTGGCACAGTAAATTACCCTTCTTGGCAATCTCCACCGCTGTCATTATGGCTGATGACTTGACTCTAATGAAATAGCCTGATCATAAGGATATTGTGTCACATTGCGGCTCCCACGTGGTTCTAAATCTAAAGATTATGGTTCTATCATTGTGTGAATCATGCCAAATTGTTTAGTTTTTCTCCACATTTTTCCATCGTGCACTGAGTGAATTATTACACGAAGATTATTAATGCACTTAGCTCACGACTTAATCAGGAGGATCCTCATTATATTAATGCAATTCATTATTGAACTTTAATATTGCGTTGGCAGTGGTGCACAAGCACATTGAACAATCGATGACTGCGCTAAAGAGGAAAAATAATATATGAATTAGGTGATGCTTCTAACAATGCCCCTTCTACATAGCAGATAAATAATTTTATTATTTCTGCGGGAGGCAGAAAAAAACTGCTTCCGCCAGAGATTTCACACAAATAGATCTGAAGCCTGCTTGCTGTACTGCAAATGATTTGAATAGGCCACCTCGTAGCCCTTTGGGTAGGGGTCTTGCACAAGATGATCTATGCGCAGTTCGCTCAAGTGCTTCCAAAGAGCTGGCTTGCAGGTGCCCGCCAACCATGTCCAGCTAACATTGGTCCAGCTAACATTGGTCCAGTCAATATGTCTACAATTGTCCAACGAACTTTGAGAGCGCTCGTGATTGGCTCCGTCTGTCTGTAACGCAGGGGCACGATAACGTCCCTACAAATTAGCCAATGTGAACAAAACTAGAGTGGAATGTGCGTTGTTCTCAGAGACTTACCGTGTAGAACACCGGCCAATTTAACAAAGGAATTCCCAGTAGCTACAAGACCCAAACCAGCACTAAAAGAAGCCGACTGGGCAGCCCGGCCCTGCCAGATGAGGCGCGCCCTGCTTCCTAAGCACCTGCCAAGTTCTACCATTATTCTCACGAATTAGTTGCTTACGAGGACAACCGCATAACGGAAGGCATTGCAGAGTCCATGCGTATGCACGATGTTTCTTCATTGTTTTTTCCCTCCGTCCTCTTCCTTATGTTCCACCTCCTGGCAATCTTCCACCGTCCCTTCGCCCTCGCCTCAGCACGTGCTGTTGCTTGCCCACCACCCATCCATCTCTCGGCATTCCACTGTCAACGATTGAATGATTCAAGGAACATTTTTGACATCCCTCAGATAGATGTGCTTCATCAACGTGGAATTCGATGTGGAAAATGCATTTATCCCAGTGGTCGCAAGCCTTGTAGCTCCATATTCGCGTTGATCGATGGCCCAGGGTCAGCTCAGGGCCACTGTGCCTGCCGCAGAACTTGCACTTGCACGAGTCTCTTCCTTGGGTTTTGTTTCGCTACCAGATTCATTCAGATTCCAACAAAATTTACAATTGTTCTGATGTGTATCGGTGGTGCCATTAGCCATGATAATAAAAAACACACACCTTTACTAATATTGTTCCACTACCTATTCCAAATTTTTTAGAAGTTAATTCGAAATGTAATGTTAGGTTACATGATACAAACTAAATGTAAATGTGCAGCACAGGTCTTAGAAGAGGTTTAGAATACCCAACCTTTGCTCCACCACATGCAACCTAGGGATTGACGAAGCGTGGGGTGCCCCGTTATTTGCCAGGGTATTTAGGAAACGGGGCACTATCCAATATATATGCAAATGCATTTATTAAAATAGATTTTGTTTTCAGGACAACAACAATAACGCTTATAATTGATTTAGAGTTTTGGGGGTGAAAAGTAAATGACTTGTGTGCATGCATTAATGTGCAAGGTTTATTTTTTTTAAGTATTACATTTAAAAAAAAAAACGACACATCCAGACGTTATCATAATAAACGGCTGTAATTTATTTCATATTGCCGCAGTTATTACTCTCTGCTTCGTCGTCACCAATGGAGCGTTTCAAATTCCAACTGAATTAAACAAGCTGTGCTTCGTGGGTCGTGTCTGCCCCCCCCCCCCCCCGTGCTCCCGGGCACGAGGCGGAGAAGACATCCATCTCAGGGTGCAGATGGCATCTGTGACTTCGAAACACAACTCCAGGCCCAGGACGTGGGCATGTAGTAATTTATTGCGCTCCACAAACAAAGCAACGGTGGCATGGCGTACTTGCAAACTGCCTCCATCCTACACCGTTCAATAATTTCTGGAAACTCGACCGCTTTTCCATTTTTATTTTGTCCCTACCCAAACACCCCGTCAATATTTCACTTAGCGATAACACGCAGCCGTAAATTAAAAGCTCAGAACCGCCATTGGTCAGCGCTCGAAAGGATAGACTTCTGATGATGGATTCTCGGACCATGGGAAACAACACGAGTCGTGTGATGAACCCCTCTACCTAGGACTCACTGCCACATAATTGTATGTGCCATGAAGAAGGGCCATTGCCCGAAACATCGCCTCATTGTATATTTATTCCTATGAAGGCCACGGTGGTATTGATGAATGTGTTGCGTTTTTTTGTCGCAGTATTTAATCTTCGCCACGCCTCATCCCGTCATGCTGCAACAACCACCAATGATGACGACCAAGCAAGTATTGTTTGTTTAAACATCATGTTGAGTTAAAGCTACACGGCGCTAAAGCAGTTGTTTGAGTAAGCCAAATGACTACATTGGTGCTGCATCGACACCTTTAAAAAAACACTGCTGTTGTCGTGCATGCGCCTGTGGCCAAATGGCTCGGAATACGGCCGGTCGCATCAGATGTGGGAAGCTGAGCAGGGCTCGAGCCTGGATAGTGCCTGGACGGGTGACAGCCGCGCATCAACTCGGTGGAGTGGGCATTGTGGCCAACAGGAGGGCAGCGCAGAAAAAATCACCAACCCAAAGTATCACCAACCCACACTGACAGGTGTGGTGAAGTATGGTCAAATAATCCCCACGACCCGCATGGCATAGGAAGGCCCTCATCCAGCAGTGGATTGACTGGCAAGCTGTAGATGTGGTTTGTAATCGATTAACCTGGCAGCCAATGGAGACCAGAGCAGGTTTCTGGCCACCAAAATCGAATCTACTTGTAGTTATAGAGTGCCTTGGATCATTGACAGGGATTGATGATGACTACAACGACGACGACGATGATGCCATCAGACCTCGATACCGTGACCTTGGTGTAACTATGTAACACTCAGTCGTAGTACAGTATATGTATGTTTTACTTGGACTTTCGTAATGAATGTCCGTCTTGATGGTTGTCACAGGACCTCTGGGCCAGGTGACGCTCAGTGCTAGAGCGAACGAAGTCGCAAGTTTCAGTTCCTGGATGGGGGTTCACTCAGCCCATCATCCCTCCAGGGTCGGTAGAATAAGTACTACTTTGTGAGACGTTAGCTGTGATCGTCCTAGGGATTGTGGCGATGCTGCAGTGACAGTGGTGCACAAGCGCAGTCTATCTTCTAACTTTCTGCTATATATATAAAAGTCAAAATTTGTGTGTGGGTTTGTGGCGGGGGTTGTGTGTGGTCGCGCGCTTGGCTCTCCAACGGTGGGGTTCACGTGAAAAGAAATAGCCAGGCACCACGCCGTAAGCCCCGCGGTGAGCAAGCGCTATTCCTTTTTACATCCGTCAACTTGAAATTAGTTTAATTGGCGATTTAGTGAGATTTTTGTGCGCTTCCCTTTTATTTATTTATGACAGCGTGCACGACCATACAAACTCACGCGCCTTTGGTGGGGGGAACACGGCCCATGCCAAGTCGCACGCCTTCGGTGGGAGTGAGGGGGACATTTTCTTTCGCGTAAAAAATGCTATAAGAATACACTATACGCTGACGTGAATTCTTCACTGTGTGATGTCCCCCCCCCCCCCACCCCGATACGTGCAGTACTACCATACAGTCGCTAGATGCTACCACTATAGGCCGTAGATATTACTGCAGAGCGGCCGGGGAGATCGTGGCTGGTGGGGGGGGTCAGGGGTAGCAGCTAGGCCTCGGCAAGGCAAGGTAATTTACCCTTTTTACCGGGTAAAAGGGTAAAGGTGTCGACATGCCAAGGGGTAAGGTAAAGGGTAACAGGGTAAAGGTAGCACGGAAGGATTACCCAGTAGGGTAAAAGTAGTGCGAAGTATTACCCGGTAAACACGGTGCCTTGTTTACCGCTAGAAGCTCTGTAGCGCAGTCCGTGGCCTCCATTTAAAATTGGAATCATCGAGAGTATTCTATATTAATAAAACGCTCTACCTAGCATTTGCCTGTTATAAACCTTTTTCATGTGTAGTAGTACCCCAGTAATTACCCTGTAATCAGGTAATTTGTATGGGGTAAGGGTAAAAGGTAAGGTAAAGGTAGGCTCGTTGTTTCAACCTTTTACCTTACCTTGCCGAGGCCTAGTAGCAGCCCAACCCCAGCCTGCCAAGGTGCCACCTCGGCCGGCTGGACAATCTAGGCGAGGCCGGAGGCTCTGCACGGGACTCGGCCTCACCACGCCACTCTGTCAGGTGAGTACTTTATGCTATAGAGTCGATAAACACTGCTATAGAGTCAGCATGTACTACTGTCGTGATAGCAGGTACCACCACAGTCGGTATGCACTGCTGTAATCATAGCAGGTACCACCACAGTATGCACTGCTGTAATCATAGCAGGTACCACCAAAGTCAGTACGCACTGCTGTTAGATTTTTAAGAGTAAAATAAAAATAAAATAAAAATCACGACGTTTCGGAGGCAACACAAGCTTCCAGTCTTCAGGTGGAACCGTCACATCACGATTGCTGTATCTTGCTGTATCTTGATACAGCAATCTTGATACAGCAATCGGAAGACGGAAGCTTGTGTTGCCTCCGAAACGTCGTGATTTTTATTTTATTTTTATTTTACTTTTATTAATTTTAATGTTTTACCCACATGACTTTACCGAAAAAACCTAAGAATATGAATCCTTGCAGTCACGAAAGCTTCAAATCTAGAATTGTAAGAGTACTTTTGAAATATTTTTAAGACCCGAGCAACGCCGGGTACTACCCGCTAGTTAATAATGAGCACAACACCTCAACACTCTGCCTTAACATGGAACATATGCAATCGGCAACTTTTTGGGCAATGGCGCTTCTTCGTAGTATAGTGATTTTTGTGAATGTGCTATAAAGAAGGGCTATTGCCTGAAACGTCACCTGTTATATATTTAATTTTAAGGCGATACGTATTGATGAATCTGTTGAGTCATAGGTACGTGGAATTTCCACCACTGGCTTCAATCTGTCAACAGGAGATAAGCACCACCTCCATGCTTCCTTGAGCTAGAAGTAACTCTGACTTGAGTGTTAGTAGGATACTTATTATATTTTAATTGTCTTCGTGTTGTATTTTTGTTCGAATATTTTTGCCATTGTTATAGTCTGGTAGTTGTTATCGTGGTCGAGTTCAAATAATGATCGCTGTGTTTTAATTTAGGAGTTGCATTTATTGATGTTATTTCTTTATTGCAATATAGTAGTTGTGTCATCACCAACATCTTGTAGTAATATTTGTATTTATTTGATATACTGTAGTTAGAATTTAGTATACTGTAATTGCATTAGTCGGTAATAACATGAGAATTCAAGTGATTAATTTTAGCGCTATGTTGTTGTATCGTTTGTGTAATTTTACTGTCGCTTTCGCAAATTTGAGAGAGTCACTGCGCTGCTGGTCCCGTTCTTGTAGTGTTATTGTATTCTGAGCGCCATGCGAAGTATTAATTTGATTTATTTGTTCATGTAATGTTAATTTCGTGGTCAATTTTATTCGATTGTTTATAGTAATAACTGATAGACTAACGATTTCAGTGGCTAACAGTCAGCACCGCTATTGGGAGGTTTAAATTGTACAGAATTTGGGCATTTTGGCAAAGATTGTATTTACCACCGCACTATCGAGTCGACAAGTCGCGTGGCAAGGGAAGTGTCCTTGTGGAAATCAAAGTTGTCAGCAGGGATTCACGTCATGTCAGAGAATGACCCCACAAGATGAAGCCACAGAACTTCCAAAAATAACTCTCACCGCACCCTCGGCAGCACGCCTCTGTGGCTTCGCGATTGTGAAGCGTTGTCTAAAATAGGGTAACGGTGCCGCCCGGCAATTGCTGCCTCCACGTCACCGCTGGGAGGAGTTGGGCCACCGCTGGAGGTCGCTGAAGGGCATCGTTCTTCATTGCAAGGCCCAAGGGCCGCTGGCGGCCCCTGGTGGCCTTTAGTGCGGTCCCTGGTGGCCTTTAGTGCGGCCCCTAACGTGTGCCCCCCCCCCCCCCCCCCGTAGCATGTGGAAACAACCCTTGCAGGCGGTGTGGCGGCCCTCACACTGGTGATGTCTTATCGGCGAAAGTACCCCCCCCCTCACCCCCCCCTCACCCCCCCCCTCACCCCCCCCCCCTCACCCCCCCCCTCACCCCCCCCTCACCCCCCCCTCACCCCCCCCCCCTCACCCCCCCCGTCTGTAAATAATGAGTGAAGAACGCTGCTCTAGGGAGACCTCGAGAGCCCCTCCCGTGTGGTTTGTTTTTGGCTGTAAAATAATCATTAGCCAAATAATCCAACTTTAGAAAGAGAGAACAGACAAGGATAGCATTTTACAATGTTGCTAAATTGTATACAGCTGTGTGGCTGTCGATTTAAAGCTTTCGTGACTGCAGGGATTCATCATGTATCTCCGCTTCAAAATAACGTATTTCTCTGACATAGGTTGTGAGTGTGTTTCTTTGAAGCCAAAATGAAGATGCAACCTTTTTCCGAATATACAGCACTTATCAATAATACGTGGCATGTTTCCGTTAAAACAGTGTGCAATCAAAACCTTTTCAATATTCTCTGTTGTGCAAAATTGCATGGCCTTATTGAGTATCCCACGGTATCCACATTCAGCAATAAGGAGCACCTGCATATGGTACTACAATCCTGTCATTAATAAAGGGAAACAAATGATCCCTTGCGACATTCTAATCATCCCATCACTGCAATCAAAGCGGATTGTACTAATTCTTACCCTTAATTATTTTTTTGCCAATTTTCCAATGCAATTTGCCAATTCACCCCTGCGACTATCAGCAGGTCTTGTTCCTTTCCAGCTTCCTTATTGCCGTAAAAGGCTCGCAGAAGTGGAACTGAGCCACGGTCATGCATTTCTCAACGATATATCCGTGCAGTTACATTTTCGATGGAAATTAATAGCGGCTTATATTCCATAATCTTCCTATTAAGAGCAGACAACTGGCAGCAATTATAAAACGAGCCCTATTATTCAGGTGGCCCCTATTCATTGCATCTCAAATACTATCAACTGCTTCTCTAAAAGTTTGCCGTGATAAGCATGCAGAGTTTATAGTCATTTGGAAGCCGGGTTTCTTTGGCTGTTGTCAAGCAACACATACATACACACACACACGCGGGGTGATTAATGTTAATTAATACACAACCTGCGAGCAATCAGTAAATCATGCCGCATTACTTTATGGCTCCTTTAAGGGCACGGCGGGAATATTATTAATTTTCAATATGACAATTTCATGGCTTGTGAATTGCCACTCAAGGAGTAGACACCTGGATTTAGCAGCTGCCAAGTCAAGGTGCCATTGAGGGCCCCTTGTGTCAATGACAATTTCTTACTCACCTACTAAGACCCCCCTCTCCTTCGCAGTTTGCCCGATAATTAAAGCACCCTCAGGAAATGACACCTCGAGCCGTTAACTTGAAGCTGGAGCGATATCGCGGCTTGCGAGAGAATCAGCTGGCACGAGTCAGCGGCGGCCACAGCCTCCCTTACGATGTTTACACTTCTTCGCAAGGGCCCTCTGTCCAGTGACCATCTGTTGTGGACGTAAGTAACGATGTATTAATTAGCTAACGTTTGCCAGTTACTGCAGCAGACACGTGCGACAAGGGGTTGTCTAATTATTTTAGGGAGTTTTTTTGCACCTAATTTTATATTTTGGTGCGGAAATATTTTTTCTACTTTATTTCAATGGGTTTTTTTTCCGGGAGTTGGAGGAATTCCAAATGATATTTTTAATACTGCGAATAAATATTGGACAATAAATGTAGACTATTTAAAATGCATTGTTCCTCAATGACAATCGTATCTGAATAAAAAATATCTTTCGTATATATATTTAAAAAGCATTTAATTGAATGTTTATATCACACTTCATACTATCGAGTAAACACATTACACTATTCAGTGCAAAGGGGTTAAATGACAAACGTTAACCGATTAATAATTTTTCCATTATTTCAAAGGTTAGAAAACATGTTTCATTGTGGCACAAACTGGAGATATAATTCAAGGTGCCAGTCTCAAATGTACTCTTTCTCAGATGACCTTTCCACCAAAACATTAGAGAATCCAAAGCAATTTCACATGAAGGTATCCAAAACACTCTTTTTATCCCCCAAAGGGAAGTAAATGTGGAAAACGTGCACTTTATATTAGCATGCGGATCCTGCTCGCTTCATTCAGTGTGCTGTTGGTAATAATTCAAGTATATTAAGACCGGAGGGAACAGTTGTATACCAGGGGGAGATACCAGCCAAATGATACAGATGACAATGTTTAGATTATGTGTTTTAGCAGTGAACACGTACATTTTTGTTCAATCGTAATTTGCTGCTCAAATGAACAATGAGGCAGTGCTCAGCTCCTGTTTACAGCCCTGAGCCAGTGGTGAAAATTCCACATTCCTATGGCGGGGGCGAGTCTATCCATAGGGCAACCGCTGTTGACTTCCCCACAAAGTGATACCTATTTTATCGATCGCAGAGATATGATGGGTGGAGTCAATCCCCAACTGAGATTGCACTAGCAACCTTCTGGACTGGGTTTAGATAGTGATTACGAATTTGTATTTTTGTATTATCACTACCGTCGTTCTGAGTTCTTATTGGATTTTGGCAACACGCATTCACAAATGTTTAAATTTAGCTCATAACCGTGGGCACGCTTTTAGAATACAAAGGTGGGGCAATCAGTGCAGTATATCAGTGGCCACAGCCACAGTTAAGTGCAGGTTTAGTTGATCCCATTGTACACACGAGACACGTAACAAGGCATTGATTGGAATTGATTCTTACACGCATGATATACGAGTGGGATCATACATGTTTGATGCTGTTATTTACGAGTGAAACGAATTACGTGCCAACGCCAAGGAACGGAACCACATCCAGGAGATAACGGCCATCCAGGAGATGGAGCGATGAAATCAGTTCATGTGCGGGAGTCGGGCGAGTTGTCACGTCGTGGGGTTCATGAGAGGTGGTGGCGGGGGCGGCGGCTTGGAGCCGCCTTCATCCAGCAGTGGATTGATCATGGCTGATGATGATAATGTTTGCACTTGATAAAGATGACGTCTCAATAATATGCTTTTGTTACATTTGGGCTAATGAAGCAAATGGAATGCTACAAGTAAAAGATGGAACAATGCAAATGAGAAAGTAAAAAGCGAGACAAAAACTAATCAAATCACGACGTGAAGGATGACTCAAAGTCGTCAAAATCTTCTAACACTACTGGATGAGTGAACCATTCCTGTTATCGCACACTACATTCAGCTGTTGATATTATTGATGAAGGCTTACAGAGTTGAATCCACACTCTCTGGGATTTGTTTTTTTTCATCACGTTTGCTGAGACACGTGACTCAAAACATCGAGCGGCCAGCAACAAGTTGCGCCATGGAAAGCCTAATAAAGAGAGTTAACGTGTCTCTTGAATTGAGCACGGTTATACGAACCTTGGTCAAAGAGGGGACACGGTGGGAGTGAATTCACAACGTAGGCAGTGCGAGCGGTACCAAGTCAGTTTAGTCGACCAAAGCCTTAACGTGGGAAGAGGAATCAATGAGCAATGTTCATGCGAACAGTCACCACGGCAGTCGTGTGTTGGACGTTCATCTCACCATGCGGGCATTTGTAATTTCTAGCCTCCAGGTGAATCCATTAATTCACACGTGCAGAGAAATGCAGCGCAGGTGGATTAAACGTAGCCTGCGGTCTCGATTGATTAATGCATAAAGAGCAACGGCAAACCAACCGCTGGTTTGCTCCTTGCTGTCCATTTAAATGCGCCATCTGTTGTGGTGTGGGAGAGATTGGTCACTCGGCATGGATGCAGCCACTGTGGGTGGTGTGGGTTTCCAGATACCCCCAAACACGTTTGGATATGGCTAAGAGATGCCCACAAAAATGTAAACAAAAAAGATCGTGGCCAATATTTGAGTAATTCTAGATTTGAAGCTTTCGTGACTGCAAGGAATCGTACTCTTAGGTTTTTTCGGTAAAGTCACGTAGGTAAAAATAAATAATAAAAATAATACGTGACTTTACCGAAAAAACCTAAGAGTATAATATTTGAGTAGTTTTAATGAAACTGGGATGTATGTTGAACTTATTTCACTCCGTACGTAGCCAACCATGCTAATCCGAGATGGAGTGCAGTAGAACTCATCATATCCATAATGACGTACGTAGTGTGTGTGTGTATGCGAGTACTATCTAAACTAAACTATTTGGTATTTTACCAGGTAAGGCCCACTGAGCTAGATGAGTCTTTTTCAGAAGCAACCTGGCCGAAAATGATAGCCAAACAAAGTGACTTAACAAGCTCTATTATGGAAGTGCCTTATGTGGCAATGTATAGCAGCCAAATACTGTAAAGGCATGTTGATTCTAAATGTGGAGCAAAAAACCGGAGGACCCGGAGAAAACTCCACGCGACCACAGGGGGAGAGACACCGCAAACTCCGAATATACAGCAGTCGTCAGGGTCGGGATCGAACCCACGACCTCCTGTGTACCAGACGAGGTAGTAAACATCTCTCACGAGCGTTGCAGTGGTGAACAAATGAGCAGGTGATAGAATCAACTCGTAAAAAAAAAGTGTGACTTTGTCCAACAGAAACCTGCGGAGGATTTACAATTCTTTGGCAAGATCCTCACTTCCTTGTAAAGAATTGCCTGCGGAGTAAAATATTTGAGCTTTATTAAATCAAGAAACCACGTCATAGAAATACAATAAAGAAAAGTATTTATATACGTATAAATACTTAATTCACATTTTTTTTCAAAGTGAGCTTAACATTTGTGTAGCACAGCAATACCTCTTATGTGGCAATGGTTTGTTTAAGGGCATGTTTCCATTCATGTTTGGTTATTTGCATTGACAAAATTTTTAATAAATAACATTAATTACAAAGAAGAGTTGGGGGGGTGGGGGTGGAGAGGGGAATGCTCCGCATGTTAGTTGGGCTGCTGTTAAAATCTGCATACTTCAGAAACACAAAAAACACAATATAAATCCAGTCAAAGTGCGCACAGCACAGCGGTGTGAGGTAAAAACGCATTTCTGGTTGATACAAAACGATCGTAACCATTTCCGCCCCATCATTTTTATTTCCTCAAGTTTTTTTGTACGGCGTTTTTTTCTTTTTTGCCAAAGTCATATCCATCAGCATTACCTCCGACAGTAAGCAGAAACGTTTGCACATAGAAAATTTGTCACGTACAACATGTAAACAGCAATTCACGAAACTTTTCTGTCTTAGACAGGGCCATCGACTATTCGCAAGGGAAGCAAAGGAGGACAAAAACAAAAACGTTTAAAAGAGACTCGCCCCCACGCGCTTCCATCGCCCGATCATTCTTGTTGTTGTTAAGCGTTGACGTGCGATTCTACGCTTGCTTCTAGCGGCCCACGCGGGCCGCGCTCAATCAACGACCGGCTCCCGCGTTGTCGACAGCCGCAATCGACATCAGCCGCTGCTCCCGAGCGCTCGGTGCAACGTGCGGCACCGGGGGGGGGGGGGGGGGGGGGGTCACGTCGTTTAACGTGCAGGCCTGTTTGTCGTCACACAGCCGGCAACGCGCGTCCGCACGCGTTCACGACAAACGGAGACCAACGCACACTTCCAGCCGCCTCGGCACTCGACAGCTTCAAGGTACCGTGCAAAACAATAAAAAAAACATCACCGCCACCATCACCATCACCACCACCATCACCACCATGGATGGTTTTGACACGTCGCAACTATCATTTCTTTGTTCACATTTCTACGGTTCCCGAATCGGGGCGGCTTGTTCCGCCGTATGCCCATTCTCATTCCTGTCCAAATCACAATTCATTTAATCGGCATTTTCGTGAACGGCAATGATGGTCATCAACATCATTAACATCATCAGGTCATTTTTATGGTCATCGGCAGTTGCGCCGACACCATCAGCAGCAGCATCATCATCATCATCGCAATCCATTCCGCTGGACAAAGGCCGCCCTATGCAGCATTTGCAACAAAATCCAGAGGCGGGTCTTGCCCGAGGCCAACGCTGGCATGTTTCCTGCCGACCAATCTCCCGGAGACGCACAGCTCCTTGCCACCTCTCTACACGTCGCTAAAACAACGCACGTCCAGCAGAGCCGAGCGCCGGCGCAACGGCCGCAAGGGCCGCAAGGGCCTCAAGGGCCACCGCCGCCCTCCTCCGTTCCTCGGCCGGCGCCGCCGCCATGGGCGTCGCTTCGATCACGTGTCGATCTCCCCGATGGGGCTGTGCATCTCGGGCAGGCTCTGCCGCGGCATTCCGTGCGGCCTGTGGTGGTGCGGCATCGAGTTCTGCTGCAGCTCGATGGCCAGCCCGGCGGGCGCGATGCCCGGCGGGGGCAGCAGCAGTGGCGGCGGCGCCGGCGCCGGCTGCTGCTGCTGCGGCGGAGCAGTTCCTGTGCACCTGCCGGTGGTACCCGACGAACGTGGCCGACTTCATGACGATGGCCAGCACGTTCTTGCCGAGGAAGATGGCCGAGACGCGGGCGTCCCTGTACAGGAGGATGTTGACGAGGCGCACGAGGATGGTGACGACGTTGATGGTGACGAGGCTGAGGATGGGGTAGAGCAGCATGCGGTGCGGGGCGATGTGCTCGCCCTGCATGCTGATCTCGCTCAGCGACACGCACGGCAGCACGAGCAGCACCACGTAGCAGTAGAAGAAGGTGAGGCCCTCGGCCCACGCCGGCATGAGCGTCCGCTGCGTGGGCTCCCACAGGTTTGCCTGCACGTCCAGGACGTCGAGCAGGTCGACCACAACCCAGAAGATGCGGCTGCGGAGGTCCTCCTTCCGCCAGAACGCCCGCAGGTAGCCCATGTAGTCGACGGCGACGAGCGACACGTAGAGCGCCGGCACGCACACCGACAGCAGCAGCGTGAGCACCTTGCGCGCCGTCACGTCGGCGGCGGCTGCGGCGGCGCCCGACAGCGCCGAGCGCTCCGCCTTGTAGTTCTGGAACACGAAGTAGAGCTTGATCTCGAGCACGAAGACGTAGACGAACCAGAGCACCATGGCGTAGCCGCGCTTGGGGGTTCGCACCTCGGCGCCCACCCACACGGCGACGTAGCGCAGCACGATGACGAAGCACACATCGCCCACCAGCAGCATGATGCACACGCCGATCTTGCGCGGCCCCGCGTTCTGCTCCACGAGGTACGCGTCCAGCAGGGCCATGCTGCTCACGATGAGCGCTGTGAAGAGGCAAACGTGGCAGCGGTCGGGCGCCGGCAAGACCATGGCGGAGAGCGCGGCGCTCTCTCGCGCGAGCCGGTGGCTCCGTGGCTGCGGGGGGGAGGGGGCGACACGGAGAGACACGGAGAGACACGCGGCGCAAACGGGAACAGAGGTGGGTGTCAGTCAAGCAGACGGACGATTGATGGCATCGTCGGCAATGGCAATGATAAATCTCACCCCCCCCCGCCCGCCCCCCCCCCAACTGTGTAAATGGATTTGTTTACTTCTTACTCCCGTATCAAACCTCGCGTGTTCGTCAAAGAACGCTGATGACCTCAAAAGTAAAATGTACAGGTGACGTTTCGGGGCAATGGTTTATTCTTATTTAGTCTTTCTTCGTAACTCTGAAAAAGGCCCACTTCTCAAAACGTCACCTATTATATATATGTGTAGTGCGAGTTAACTTAGGCGCACACTTGTACTTGGAGGCAACATGTTTATTTAACACAACGGGTAACTCTGACAGGATGACAGCATAGGGTGGTGACCACCACGGCTAACTTAACCAACACTCGGAGAGACAATTCTACGGTCGGACCAGGACAGCTGACTGGCTGCCTGGTCCACGCATGGAGACCGGAGACCGAGGATCGAGGACGGCGACTTCATTCCCAGAGTAGAACGCCGCGGTCCGTCTCGGGACCCCGCTGAGAACTCCCCTGGCGTGGCCGGCCCTGCCCTTGGCCACGCCCCCCTTCCAGAACCCTCGTGGGGACTCTGGATCTCCATCACGTGATCCTCTCACCCCCGACTGGGGCCCCCCCTCGTCCGGTCACGTGCCCTCCCGGGTTCACCTGCGGTCACGTCCTGACGCGACACCCGGGCTCCGCCCTTACAGTAGCACCCCTCATTCGGCACTGTCTTTACACTACGGTGGCCCCTTGGAGGCCATTACAGATGTGTTTTCCTTTTTTGGCAGTGTAATTGATGAAAGTGTTGCGTTTTTGTTATTTGCTCGAGCACCACTGCCAACTCAGTATCAAAAATATGATTGTTTTATATTATCCCACGATTTTATTGTCAAATTAACACACGTTAAATATCAATGGATACCAATTTGATTGTGATCACAGTATGAATCGTAATCATCATCAGATACAAGGGTAGTAGCAGCTGCAACAGGATCACGACCACCGTCATCATTGCCCTCAGAGTTCATTGGCACCACCACCGCCACCAGCATCAACATTGCCAGGCACCCTGTTATCCACTGCTGAATGAAGGCCTACTCACAAAGGACACAGGCTTTGACTGGGGCTTGTAAAGTAGTGCAAGAGCTTGGCCCCTTGCAAGCCTCAGGACTGCTCCCAGCAGCCGGCCGCCTCCTCCTGCAAATGCCAGCGCCAGATTGAACCCTGCCGAGACCCGGGATGACGGTCATCATTGGCCCCTCCTCTCGGCGGCCCTGACCCTCGGTTATCATGCTGCTGCTGCAGCAGCATTCCATCTTCCTCTATCCTACACCCTGAATTAACTCTTCCATCTGCCCACCTTGGCTGTCGGCTTACGGAGAGGATCACGGTCTGTCCCTCTCTCCGTCTCCCGGACGTTACATTTTTTAACCCCGTTTCGTCCTTCGGTTGTCCCACCCTCCCAGCGACCTGTGAAATGTGCGCATTGTCACGTGTGCGGGAGAAGCAGAAATGCAGAGCCTTCTAGCCGGGACACCGTGTAAGTGAGTTGAGATTGGCTGGCGAGGGTTGGCCACATAGATACGAGTCGTGTCGCGCTCTAACCAATGTGATTTGTCAGTTGTCAGCAAGAAGGGAGGTGCTGTCTTCAGGGACAGCTGCGTAATATCTTGTGATCTCACAAAACGCTGTGCCTTTAGTCATCTCACACACACGCACGGTCAGCACACACAGACCGTCAATATGCGCACAGTCAATACACGCTCATATTAAAACAGCGCGCACATGTTCACAGTACACATACACGCTTAATACACATGTAGTCAGTCCGCACGCATGTTGACACATTCAGTACAACACAGTGATCAACACCGACACACACACACCCAGTACACGCATACACCACAGACGGACTGTTGGGGCAAGTGCCATTAGCGAGCACCTATTAAGGCCGACACGGCACACGAGGGGGCCGTGAAGTCAGTACCATGCCTGGCCGCCCGTTGTCTCCCCAGTGCTGATGTTTAGACACGGCACCAGGTACTCATTTAGGGCCGAGTCAACCTATGGGAGGTCAAGGACCAGTGGGAAATTTTTGCCACACACATGCATGCCGCACACACATCCAAATAGGCAGCGCACAAACATTCAGAGTGTCCACACGTACACGGTTAACAAAAACAGTTTTCAAACAACATGCAAAAAGCACTCAGCCTTTGTGCATTATGCACAAGCTATCAGCAGTTATGAAGAAATGCATGATCTGTTTTGATGGCTTTTTATCATCATTTACAGATTTGACACACGTTCAATCGGCACACACAATATGCATCAATATTGAACAGCAAAAAATAAAGACAAAGATCTCCCCCACCCGCCCGCCATGTAGCCTGAACAGACTGTTGGGGCATGAGCACCTATGAAGGCCGGCACGGCACACGAGGGGTTGAGTGGCCAGCACCACGCCCGGCCGCCTTTGTCTCCCTAGTGGCGATGTTTACACACCGCACCAGGTACTCATTTTGAGGCTGTGTCGATCTAGGAGAGGCCCAGGACCGGTTCAAGTATTCATCAATGATGTTGGCCATGAGCGAGAATCGAACTCGGATCGCTGTGTTCGTAGCGCAGCGCACTCACCGCTACACTACCGCTCCCCATATTCAACAGCACATACATTCACACAGTAAGCACACACACACACGCATTCACATATACACACAGCACACACACGCATGCGAGCAGGATATCCTCATGTTCCACTGTGTGGCTATTCCCCGGGGTGTCATGGCATTTGAGGCATTTTTACACCTGCGGGAAATTGGAACATATTTAAGGGACAGTGTGTTTTAAAAAGATGGAGCCGATTAGAAATCGCTTTGCTTTGAAATTGGGTCCATCTTTTTAAAACACCCTGCATATTGGAACAATATTCTGCTCCTGGATATGTGTGATATTCGGTTGATTAGTGCATAGCACTGTGAGAAAAGTTCAGAATGTACATCACGCTGAATTCTGGTTAATATCACAGCGGTAAATGAGTAAGAAATTGCGACACGAAAAGTATCGGTTTCCACTTCAGCTCAGGATTTGTTATGCTGTTTAGAAACTCTTACGGTAACTCTAATAGCGCGGTAAGTTTCCACAACTTGTTCTCGCTTGGGTTTAATAATGTCCATCACTTAGAGCGACAGGATTCGCTATGCCACCCTCTTCTCCTTCTTTCCACCGCATTTAATGGAACGTCTCGAAAATCAATAGTCCATATCTGTACAGTCACACGCAGCCCTTACAGCTGTGGATGAGCTATACACCACACAGTTGGGAAAAATGGGTTCTTAAGCCAGAAGAACTGCACCATTGCAACTTGGCGCACGGCACAAAGGAGCGCGAGCGTTGTGTTTATTTACAGCTGCCGAGAGATGACGGACGGGACGCTAAGGCGGTGGCTTGCCATGGCAATTGCCGCCGTCTCTCTTTCCTTAAGGATTTGAGCGGACCCAGAAGAGGCATCTCGAGAACTCCCAGCTGAGACTTTCGCCGCGGGGCATCGCTATTAGCTTCTGGGTTAAGTCAAGAATTTAATGGATCGACTTCCCTGCCCGAGTGTATATATTTTTTTCTTTACTACTAAAAGTCTGACAGCACTGCGCGAGTGTTTTATTGTATTCCAAGGTGGCTATGGGGACGGTTAATATACTGCGCGTTAAAATACATGCAGCCTTGGTACGGACAGAGGTCGAAAGTTTGTATTCAGACTGAGAGAGTGTTTCTTCTCTCCGGCCCCTCTCCGCCATGATGTAAAGCCATCTTGCTGTTCTCTAACCCGAGCCGGACGCCACTTGATCAACGCCCCGAGCGTCAAGGGGTGATTCGCGTGGCACGTAGCGTCTAGCTGAGCCAGACCGCGGGCACCACCTCACCTACAGCAGGCGTTGTGCTAAGGCCTCTCTTTGATTCAGGTCTATTTGTTAGAGAAAAAACGATACACGATGTTACATCACGCGTATTGAATGTGCAGTCACAGTGCTTTAACTTCTCAACGTAATTACACTTTGAGTCTTGGGCTTTCACTCGCGTGTCGGTTTAACGTCTTCACGCCAGCCTCTTGGGGGGAGGGGGGAATAGGGGGGCGGTGGGGGGAGGGAGGGGGCTGGTGGGGGCCAATCCCCCCCCCCCTCCCCCATGAAGGCTCAGCCCCCTTTCTTAATTCTTAAAGTCGAGTGAAAAAATGTTGGCACCACAATCTAGTTAGTGACTGCTCCCTCACACACACACACGCACTGATCTCCTGTGGGTATGCTTCTCTTAATTGGGAAGCTTCACTTGATGCACAAACTGTCTGTAACAAGTGCAAGGGGGTTAAACACGACTGGCAAATCAGTGCAATTAAGCTGCGGGCGTTGCAGCCTCCCCTAATTGAACAGGATGCATCAGAAAAAAAGTGGATCGTGGCGGCCACTCGTCCCAATGATCCTGTCATGTTCTGTTTCCCACTTCAACACTGACGCTCTTCATCCCGAGTCATCGTATAGCCTCCGCTCTCCTTCTTCGTGTGGTCGATGTAGAGCTACAAGTATCATTACACAACGAGGTGGCTGAGCCACGATAATTGCTGCAGGAGCAGCTGAGTGGTGACATCGCGGCTGTGACGATGCCCCCTCCTCCTCCGTGTTTGTGAATCCGGGCCAGTGAGTCGTCGTTATCGGCTCCGCGGCTCTCTTCTGGCTGGTGACCACATTCTCTACACAGCGGAGATGATTTTTTTTATCCTCCTTTTGTGCATCAAATATCTGCTTCTGCTGCCATTGTGAGTGTTTAAACAAGGTCACGCTATCAGCTTGCGTCACGCTATGATTAGCCACGTGACGCCCGTGCTGTCCATTGTGTTAAGCGAGGTGCCCTCCCGCTCCCCGCGCC